CGGGGACACATGGTGATGTAAAGAAGACATCACTTTGAGAGTCTCCTGACACACCGGGGACACACGGTGATGTAGAGAAGACACCACTTTGAGAGTATCCCGACACACGGGGGACACACCGGGGACACATGGTGATGTAGAGAAGACATCACTTTGAGAGTCTCCTGACACACGGGGGACACACCGGGGACACATGGTGATGTAGAGAAGACATCACTTTGAGAGTCTCCCGACACACGGGGACATACCGGGGACACATGGTGATGTAGAGAAGACATCACTTTGAGAGTCTCCCGACACACGGGGACACATGGTGATGTAGAGAAGACATCACTTTGAGAGTCTCCTGACACACCGGGGACACATGGTGATGTAAAGAAGACATCACTTTGAGAGTCTCCTGACACACCGGGGACACACACGGTGATGTAGAGAAGACATCACTTTGAGAGTCTCCTGACACACCGGGGACACACACGGTGATGTAGAGAAGACATCACTTTGAGAGTCTCCTGACACACCGGGGACACACGGTGATGTAGAGAAGACATCACTTTGAGAGTATCCCGACACACGGGGGACACACCGGGGACACATGGTGATGTAGAGAAGACATCACTTTGAGAGTCTCCTGACACACTGGACACACACGGTGATGTAGAGAAGACATCACTTTGAGAGTCTCCTGACACACGGGGGACACACCGGGGACACATGGTGATGTAGAGAAGACATCACTTTGAGAGTCTCCCGACACACCGGGACACACCGGGGACACACGGTGATGTAGAGAAGACATCACTTTGAGAGTCTCCTGACACACCGGGGACACACACGGTGATGTAGAGAAGACACCACTTTGAGAGTATCCTGACACACCGAGGACACATGGTGATGTAGAGAAGACATCACTTTGAGAGTCTCCCGACACACCGGGGACACATGGTGATGGAGAGAAGACATCACTTTGAGAGTCTCCTGACACACGGGGGACACACCGGGGACACATGGTGATGTAGAGAAGACATCACTTTGAGAGTCTCCCGACACACGGGGACATACCGGGGACACATGGTGATGTAGAGAAGACATCACTTTGAGAGTCTCCCAACACACGGGGACACATGGTGATGTAGAGAAGACATCACTTTGAGAGTCTCCTGACACACGGGGGACACATGGTGATGTAGAGAAGACATCACTTTGAGAGTCTCCTGACACACGGGGGACACACCGGGGACACATGGTGATGTAGAGAAGACATCACTTTGAGAGTCTCCCGACACACGGGGACATACCGGGGACACATGGTGATGTAGAGAAGACATCACTTTGAGAGTCTCCCAACACACGGGGACACATGGTGATGTAGAGAAGACATCACTTTGAGAGTCTCCTGACACACGGGGGACACATGTTGATGTAGAGAAGACATCACTTTGAGAGTCTCCTGACACACGGGGGACACACCGGGGACACATGGTGATGTAGAGAAGACATCACTTTGAGAGTCTCCCGACACACGGGGACATACCGGGGACACATGGTGATGTAGAGAAGACATCACTTTGAGAGTCTCCCAACACACGGGGACACATGGTGATGTAGAGAAGACATCACTTTGAGAGTCTCCTGACACACGGGGGACACACCGGGGACACATGGTGATGTAGAGAAGACATCAGAGAGTGACTTTTGCATGATAGGAGACCTTTAAAGTTCTGGTCCACACTATCTCATGTCTCAGTGTGACAGCTATTTCTCTCCGGTGTAAACCACTATCATTTAAGTAAGTAAAATGTATTTATAAAGCACTTTTCCTAGACTTAGTCACAAAGTGCTTGACAAAGCATTAAAACATCATACGACCCAAGAACTGCAAGCAAAACTCTTGGTCCTAAGGACTCAATATAGTGAATTATCGAGTAACCAGACAGCTGCTAGCTTACTAAGATTAAAACAAAGCTACTACGATCAGGGAGAAAAGGCGGGCCAAATATTGGCTTGGCGTATTAAAAAATTGCAATCTGAAAGGGCTATCAACAGCATTAAAACAAATGGTAAATTAACAAATGACCAAGCAGAAATAAATAGTGCTTTTAAAATGTTTTATGAAAAACGTTATACATCCGAACATGAAGATCCAGGCCAACAGGAACATTTTCTAAGTTCATTAGTTTTCCCCACTATTTCAACTGATTCAAAAGGAAAACTAGACCATATCATAGGAACTGACGAGCTTTCAGAAGCCATAACCAGCATGACGGGGGGAAAGGTGGCTGGTCCAGATGGGCTTCCTATAGAAATCTATAAACGATTTCAAGATAAGCTACTACAACCTCTTTTGGATATGCTGTTGGAGTCATACGAAAAGGAGGACCTACCACTATCTCTTAGAGGGGCACTAATCACTCTGATGCTAAAACCAGGAAAGGACCCCACTGACTATGCATCGTACAGACCAATCTCACTGCTTAATACAGATAGCAACATGTTATGCAAGACGTTGTCGAGAGACGCCCAAACAAACTACTGCCTTCCATGATTAAAGATGATCAAAATGGTTTTATTCAGGGAAGGCAAGCTTTTCATAATGTTAGAAGGGTACTAAATATTCTTTATGAAAAAAGAGGGTCACCTAACATGGCACTGCTGTCCTTAGATGCAGAGAAGGCCTTCGACCGAATTGAGTGGAAGTATTTGTTTGAAGTGTTGGAGAGGTTTGGAATAGGCGAAGGCTTTCTCAAATGGATCAGGAGGATATATAAAAACCCAACAGCTGAAGTGGTGACAAATAATGTTACTTCTACATCCTTCTCATTGTACAGATCTACACGTCAGGGCTGCCCCCTCTCCCCATTGCTGTTTCTGTTAGCAATGGAGCCATTTGCCATGGCTATTAGAGACTCTCCATCTATATCTGGGATCTCAGTAGGTGACTTGGATCATCGAATATCACTTAATGCGGACGATGTTGTTCTTTTTTGATCAAATCTTGAGTATTCTGTACCATCTCTGTTAGAACTAATTACGACCTTTGGGGAATGTTCAGGCTACAAAATAAATATGCATACATCCTCAATACTTTATCTAAATGAACAAGAGAGGCAGCAACATAGAATACAAACTCCCTTTTCAGCTCATAGGGAAGGATTCACCTATTTAGGAATAAAAATCACACCTGAAATGAATGATCTGGTTCCAGCCAACTATAACCCTGTTGTAGACTCCGTGGTAGAATCGCTTAACAGATGGACCGTGTGTTGATTGTTTGTGTTTGAGCCTTCAGGCACAATTCAGACCATTCTTTTTCAGAGATTTCCTCTTGTAAATCAAGCCTCCAGCTTTTAAGTTTATCTTCTGAAGATTCAGGTGACTTGTCTACAAAGATTTGATAGAGCAGCGATAGCTGGCCTCTACCAACCACGTGTTTAACTGTAATGTCTTCCAACATTAAGAGAGGTGGCTGAGTAAGTGAGCGGTTTTGAGATACAGAGATAAAATGTCTTATTTGTAAAAACTTAAAGAAGTGCTTAGAAGGAATATCATACTTTTCTTATATTTCAGTAAATGACATTAATTTTCCATCATTGTACAAATCGGTAATCCTGCTTAATCCCTTGTTCGCCCAAGTCTTAAAACCAGCATCTTCTCTACCAGGTATAAATGGACTATTGCCCCATATGGGGGTGAAACCTGACAGTGGGGGTGTCCCCTATATATCTTTGGACCTCATGCCAGATGTGTATGGTATTTCTTAGAAAGGTTTTGTTTGTGTTTTTCCCGAGCTTCTTTGGCTCAGAAGAATAAAGATTGCTACTAAGCGATAACCCTTGATCTGAGCATGCTTCAATCTTGACCCACGCTGGAGCTTCCTCTGGGGAGAAGTAGCACATGGCTGCTCTCAGTTGTGCTGCCCAATAGTACCAGCGTAGGTTGGGCAGTTTTAGACCCCCTCTGTCATAAGGCAAGTAAAGTAGGGTAAACCGGAGCCTAGAGCATCTATTATTTTCTTAAATTTTTGAAAAAATGACTCAGATGGGGGTAAGGGGATTGATTGAAACAAATAGAGCAATTTGGGTAATGTATTCATTTTTAAGATGTTAACACGACCGATTAAGGAGATTGGCATTTAGTTGATACAATACAATTGGATTTTAAGAACATATATAACGCCATCACAACTACATCACTTTAATCCCAATACCCCAGACACCTGCTTTAAATGTAACGATGCTAAAGGATCACTCTTTCACTGTTTGTGGGAATGTAATGTGGTCAATCGTTTTTGGAAGGAGGCTCTTAACACGATTAACCAGATAACAAAACAAAAAATCCCTTGTCAGCCAAAGTTGTGCATCCTGGGTATTTATCCAAAATACTTTGTTTCTAAGAAGAGTGAGCGTGCACTTATAGACTTGTGTCTTTTACAAGCTAAGAGGGCAATAGCTATAGAATGGAAAAATGTGAACAAACCTAGTATGAATACATATTTTAAGGATCTGTCAACATGTGTCGCTTTAGAAAAACTAACATACATTACTAAAGGAAAGCTGGCAGTTTTCGAAAATATCTGGGGGAGCTTCATGGAGTTTCTGAAAAATAATGTTGGTAATGATTAATAACACCAAAGACCGGGGCGGGGAAGAGGGCAACGGGAATACGATTCTACAGTGTAGTCGCCCATGTCATATTCTTTCAGATTTTTGTTCTGTATCATCTGTATACTGACCTGTGTTTATTTACATGCCATTTGATTTTATACTGTATCTGCCACCTAGACTGACCATGTATGTGAAATGTTCATTATTTTATTTTATGTATGTGTAATGTTCGTTATTGTATGTATGTGTAACGTCCATATTTGAAAACTTCAATAAAAATATTGTTAAAAAACAAAAAATCATACGAGTCATAAAAGAATGAATGACCTCACAAGCCACGTGTTAAGAAGTGCTAAAAACAGAATAAAAGCACACAAGTTACCCAAACGAGATGAATAGATCTGAACCACACAGGAGACTTATTTATTCGCTCATCAGTCTGCATGCTCTACATTAGTGTTTGTACATGTCAGAGAACATCTTAAAAAAACATCTTAAAAGTCCACACAGGTCCTCAGAGTCCAGGTGTTTAATGTCCATAGAATTTCACCTGAATATAAGCAGAGAAAGTCAGCAGATCTGCAGGTTTCAGAGGGACCAGGTCTACTCTCCTGATGAGAGTACCGCAGTGACACATCTGCAAAAAACTTGATTTAAAAACAGATTTTTAAAAAGTCCAAAACTTCAAAACTACATGTTTTAGCTCCAGGGGAGGAGGTCTCTGAGGACCCCCTTCAGCTGCTCAGGCTGAACATCTCCATCAGGGTGGCCTGCTTACTGCGCCTGGAGGAGGAGGTCTTTGAGCTGGGGGTATCGGCGCTGCTGGAGGTCTCAGGACTGCCCCTGCTGGAGGTCTCAGTGCTGCCCCTGCTGGAGGTCTCAGTGCTGCCCCTGCTGGAGGTCTCAGGGCTGCCCCTGCTGGAGGTCTCAGGGCTGCCCCTGCTGGAGGTCTCAGGGCCGCCCCTGCTGGAGGTCTCAGGGCAGCTGGAGGTCCTGGTGCTGCCCCTGCTGGAGGTCTTGGTGCTGGAGGTATTGGTGCTGGAAGTCTTGGTGCTGCCCCTGTTCTGCCGCAGCAGGTAGGGCTCTGCGGACCCTTTGCGTCGGTCACTGGCTCTCTGCCTCTCCTCCTGGTCCAGCTCCTTCTGCAGCACCAGAGCCAGCCTCCGGTCGTCCTCCTCCTGCTGCTGTCTGCTCTCCCACCCGGTGAGGTCCACAGTGGGGGAGAAGGGGGAGGGACAGCCTCTCTTTGGGGCCGTCAGATCCTCGTCCTCCGACCTCTCAGAGATCTTCCTCTTGGACGATGAAGGTCCAGCGTCTGCGTGGAAGCGACTCTCGCGCTGCTCCTCCTCTGAGGGGCAGAGGAAACCCTCCAAACGCTCCTCCTGTAACGCCTCATCGCGGAGGAGGATGTTCTCCTGCAGGAGAAGACAAGGAGAACACGTTCATTAGAATTCAGTGATGTCGTCGCATCTCTAAAGTTACGATGTCGTAGTATCGTTAAAGACGCAACGCGGTCGCATCTCTAAAGACTTAGCGCGGTTGCATCTCTAAAGACCCGACACGGTCACATCTCTAAAGACTCGACACGGTCACATCTCGAAAGACCCGGCGCGGTCACATCTCTAAAGACTTGGCGCGGTCGCATCTCAATAGACCCTACACGGTCGCATCTCTAAAGACTCGACACGGTCACATCTCTAAAGACTCGGCGCGGTCACATCTCTAAAGACTCGACACGGTCCCATCTCTAAAGACTTGGCGTGGTCGCATCTCTAAAGACTCGACACGGTCACATCTCTAAAGACTTGGCGCGGTCGCATCTCTAAAGACTTGGCGCGGTCGCATCTCTAAAGACTTGGCGCGGTCGCATCTCTAAAGACTCAACACGGTCGCATCTCTAAAGACTTGGCGCGGTCACATCTCTAAAGACACGACACGGTCGCATCTCTAAAGACTTGGCGCGGTCACATCTCTAAAGACACGACACGGTCGCATCTCTAAAGACTTGGCGCAAGTCGCATCTCTAAAGACTCGACACGGTCGCATCTCTAAAGACTTGGCGCGGTCGCATCTCTAAAGACTCGGCGCAGTCGCATCTCTAAAGACTCGACACGGTCGCATCTCTAAAGACTTGGCGCGGTCGCATCTCAAAAGACCCGACACAGTCACATCGTTAAAGACTTGGCGCAGTCGCATCTCTAAAGACTTGGTGCGGTCACATCTCTAAAGACCCGACACAGTCACATCGTTAAAGACTTGGCGCAGTCACATCTCTAAAGACTTGGCGCAGTCACATCTCTAAAGACTTGGCGTGGTCGCATCGTTAAAGACTTGGCGCAGTCACATCTCTAAAGACTTGGTGCAGTCACATCTCTAAAGACTTGGCGCAGTCACATCTCTAAAGACTTGGCGCAGTCACATCTCTAAAGACTTGGCGCAGTCACATCTCTAAAGACTTGGCGCGGTCACATCTCTAAAGACTTGGCGCAGTCACATCTCTAAAGACTTGGCGCAGTCACATCTCTAAAGACTTGGCGCGGTCACATCTCTAAAGACTTGGCGCGGTCGCATCGTTAAAGACTTGGCGCGGTCGTATCTCAAAAGACCCGACACGGTCACATCTCTAAAGACTTGGCGCGGTCACATCTCTAAAGACTTGGCGCGGTCGCATCGTTAAAGACTTGGCGCGGTCGCATCTCAAAAGACTTGGCGCGGTCGCATCTCTAAAGACTTGGCGCGGTCGCATCTCAAAAGACCCGACACAGTCACATCGTTAAAGACTTGGCGCAGTCGCATCTCTAAAGACTTGGTGCGGTCACATCTCTAAAGACCCGACACGGTCACATCGTTAAAGACTTGGCGCAGTCGCATCTCTAAAGACTTGGTGCGGTCACATCTCTAAAGACCCGACACGGTCACATCGTTAAAGACTTGGCGCAGTCACATCTCTAAAGACTTGGCGCAGTCACATCTCTAAAGACTTGGCGCAGTCACATCTCTAAAGACTTGGCGCGGTCGCATCGTTAAAGACTTGGCGCGGTCGCATCTCTAAAGTTTTGGCGCAGTCGCATCTCTAAAGACTTGGCGAGGCCGCATCTCTAAAGACGCGTCAGTTAAATCCCCTTTCTGGCCCATCATGCCTGAGGAAAAGACGTTGCATAACAATTATGGTCACCTCAATATAGGGTGTTGATCTCCTTAGGCCACACCCTCCCTCATTACACAAATACAGATCAACTGATATGCTTGAATCTAATAGGCATTCAAGTGTATATAGCTTGGAGCTGGAAAAATTGCTTTAAAATTGTGATGTGGTCAAAATACTCAGTTGCCAAATAATTGTGCACACTGTATGTATATGATTATTGATGCCAGATGAAGACAGACGGCAGGGTCTCGACATTATAAATGGCCCGCTGGCCCGGAAGCACTATTTAGACACCCCGGGCCAGCATACCGTACTTTCCACTTGCCCGCTCGGGCCACTAAAAATATTGCTTTTTTAAAAAAAATGTCCTGTGGTATTGGTATTTTGACGAGCAATGTAGTTAAATTGTTTTGTTTATTAACGCTACAACAAAGCGTTTCATGAGGCGGTTGTCGTTGTTGGGTGAAAAGCAAACAGCTGTTTGCTGCGGAGCGCAGCGCGAGCAGGGCTCCCGTGAGCGGGGAGCGCGCTCCTTCACTACAGACTATTGCGCCCTCTAACCATTCGCCAAAATGTTTTAATACCAGCGGTAACCGGGCAAGCGCCGGGCAAAAAACAATCTTCAAATAAGTCACCGGAGGAGTTAAAGGAGAGTGACAGGGAGCATGAGAAGAAGAGGGAGAGAAAGTTTCAGCTTGATGGATGGAGTTGGCTTCTAGTGGTGCAGTGACGCATCCTAAAACCCTTTTATAATCTATCGATTTTATGATTCGAACATTATAAAAGTAGGGTAGACATGTGGAGATTATCCGGCTGAACAAAAAGTGCATTTATCAAACAGGTTTGTTTTCCACAGACCTTATTTCCAGCTATTTTCCAAACCCTGTGGAGAAATCCCATTGCTTTCTGTGGAGGGAACCAGCAGCTTACTTCCTGGTTTTAGGATGCGTCACTGCACCTCTCAATATGATGCCAGTATAAACAAGGTCTTCTGTCGGCTCTGTACATCAATGCCGACCTATGCTGACAGTAAGTGAAGAGTAGACAATATAAGGTATTGGCTTTAGGGAAATGTCCCAGCAGGAGAATGAAGGATCTAATCTATTACATAGCCATTACATGTCTAACTCCTAATGACAGGAAGGCAGAAAGCGCATTATACTAATAATAATACTCATAATAATAGCAGACATTTTTTAACAATGACCACGATATCATTATTTTAATAAACCAAATATGAACAATTGAGGAAAATGAGGAAGAACTGATGATTGAAATGTTGTAGTACAAGTAGCAATGTAGTTAGTGCATAAATTACTATTGCAACAAATGTGTTAATTTTCTTCATTATTAATCGATTTGTTTTGGACGAATGCTCCAGGCCAGTGGTTACAATGGTGGGCCAATGATAATACAATTGTACCCTTAATGTCTACCCCTGGACGGGTTTACCTTGTTGGACATGAAGCAGCCCTCTGATGAGCTGCTATGAGCAGGGAGATGACACAAGAACCTGAAACAGATACAACATAATCTTCATCACTATCATCATCATCAATCCATCCATGGAAGACCTCTACACCCAGCGGCAAAGGAAGAAAGACCTCAGGATTATAAAGACCCCCATCGCCCCAGCAACAATCTGTTCTGTCTGCTGCCTCAGGAACAGTTTCAGGTCTAAAACCACCAGACTCAGGAACAGTTTCAGGACTAAAACCACCAGACTCAGGGACAGTTTCAGGTCTAAAAGCACCAGACTCAGGGACAGTTTCAGGTCCAAAACCACCAGACTCAGGGACAGTTTCAGGACTAAAACCACCAGACTCAGGGACAGTTTCAGGTCTAAAACTACCAGACTCAGAGACAGTTTCAGGACTAAAACCACCAGACTCAGAGACAGCATCAGGACTAAAACCACCAGACTCAGAGACAGCATCAGGACTAAAACCACCAGACTCAGAGACAGCATCAGGACTAAAACCACCAGACTCAGGGACAGTTTCAGGACTAAACCACCAGACTCAGGGACAGTTTCAGGACTAAAACCACCAGACTCAGGGACAGTTTCAGGACTAAAACCACCAGACTCAGAGACAGTTTTAGGTCTAATACCACCAGACTCAGGGACAGTTTTAGGTCTAAAACCACCAGACTCAGGGACAGTTTCAGGACTAAAACCACCAGACTCAGGGACAGTTTCAGGACTAAAACCACCAGACTCAGAGACAGTTTCAGGACTAAAACCACCAGACTCAGAGACAGTTTCAGGTCTAAAACCACCAGACTCAGAGACAGTTTCAGGTCTAAAACCACCAGACTCAGAGACAGTTTCAGGACTAAAAACCACTAGACTCAGAGACAGTTTCAGGACTAAAACCACCAGACTCAGGGACAGTTTCAGGTCTAAAACCACCAGACTCAGAGACAGTTTCAGGTCTAAAACCACCAGACTCAGAGACAGTTTCAGGACTAAAACCACCAGACTCAGAGACAGTTTCAGGACTAAAACCACCAGACTCAGGCAGGGGCGGACTGGCCATCGGGAATACCGGGAGTTTCCCCGGTGGGCCGGTGCTGTGCGTGGGCCGGAGGGCCAAAACAATAAATACATTTTTATTTTTTTAAAAATTTTTTTTTTGCCTAAATCCTACCGGCCCACATTTGTAAGTATACCGGCCACTCCCTTTTTTTTTTTGCTTAACTAAATCCTACCGGCCCACATTTGTAAGTGCCCACATTTGTAAGTGTTCCGGGCCGGCCACTCCCCATCAGGCCCGTAGCAGCTGTCACTGCGCAGTGAAAGATCAGGAGTGAGTTACTGATGGATAAACAAGCTCCAAAGCGTAAAGGAGGTGCACAAAAACTTAGGGATAAAAAAATGAAAGCACTTGAGGAAGGTTCAGCAAAATCAAAAAAAATTACAGACTTTTCGTTTGGTCCTGCAGCTGGTTCTAGTTGTAGTACAACCACCACCGGAGAAGCTGATGTAACGTTAGCCGACACAGCGGCCATTCCCAGTGGCAGTGAGTCCAGCAATGAAACTGACACAGCACAGCGGCATCTAGAGCCCAGTACCAGCAGTGATATGATGGTAAGTTAATGTTATGATTGATGCTGAAAGTGAAAATCCTCATTTGGCTAATGCTAGCTTGCTTTTTAATGTAGCAGATGAGGTAATATTAGCTAGCTAGCCTATTTCTAGCTAGCTAGGCTATTGCCTACAGTACATTGTGTGTTCACAGGGACAGCTAATGCATTAGCTAGCTAGCCTATTGCCTACAGTACATTGTGTGTTCACAGGGACAGCTAATGCATTAGCTAGATAGCCTATTGCCTACAGTACATTGTGTGTTCACAGGGACAGGGTAAAATTAACACCATTCACTGACCAAATTCTGGTGAAATATGCAAGCTGCTGGTAGATTTGCTTCACTCATTGACAACGGTAATCTATTTGAACATTATAGCCACTTGACTTGGGCTGGTGAATCAATGAGACTACTATGATTGCTTATACTGTCTTTTGTTTGATTAGCTTAGACGTTAGGATACCTTATTAATACTAAAAATAATAAAGGGTCCATTATTTGTCAACCTGCAACTAAAGTTACTGTCTGGTGGAAATTAGCCTGTTACTGTCTTTAAGACTTTACTTGGTTTACATACATAATAATAACATGGTGGTAACATAATAACGTAACATACTAATCAATACTAATCATTTATGTAGGCTGAAGATGATCCTGCTGCTGACACTGACAGAGTTAGTCAAGGCCAGGATGTCAGTGCCACCCCAGTTGATTATTTCACTAGGCCGATGTCAGGCACATTAGACCTATTCTCCGTTTTTCCGTTTCACACCCCCAGCAGAAGGCAGACAAGGCTGTAGTGCAGAGGGCTTTTTTTGCAAAGACGGCACAAACAGGAATGGCTATCATACAGTGAGCCAGAGAAGTACTCTTCTGCTCCCTTGTATGGCTTTTGCTAATCCTAGAGATAGCAACTCCTTCATCACTGGCATGACCAACTTCACACACATACATCAGAGAGTCGAGGAGCATGAGCAGAGCCATGCTCACAGAGGTTGCGCTGAGGCATATTTCCTCAGATTCTCAAAAAAACACAATTCAGGACCTTCTCATGGGACCTCAGATTTCACGTCACGAGAGGAAGTCCGCAGGAAGCGTCAAGTGTTGGAGCGCATCATAGATGTGTTGAAACTCATTGGTCAAAGGGGTTTGAGCTACAGGGGCACGCAGGCGGAGGCATTATATACACTAGATGATGACACCATTGATCATGGTAACTTTTTAGAGATGATTGTTTTTGCTGGGAAAATATGATGTGTGTCTCAAGGAACACCTCACTCTCTGTATAGAAAAGAGCAAGCAAATACACCAGTCTGGTTTAAGACAAGGTAGAGGTTCCCTTGTCACTCTCCTATCCAAAACAACCATCAACTACATCATCACCACCATCCAACGCCTAATGAAGGCCACCATCGCCACTGAAGTCCGGGAATCTGGCATGTATTCTGTCCAGATTGACACCACACAGGACATCACAGCCCAAGATCAGTGCTCTGTTGTCATACGATATGTGACAGACATTGTTCATGAGCGACTTGTTGCTGTGATTAAATGTGAGGCATCCACTGGGCAGTACTTTGCACAACTTGTTGTGAATGAAGTACTGGAGACCATGAAACTGGATGTGAGGCAGTGTATTGGAGATTCCACCGATGGGGCCTCCAATATGCAAGGCCAATATAAAGGCTTCTCTGCACTGCTCGCCAAAATGTCCCCCACCCATGTCCATGTATGGTGCTACGCACACGTCCTGAACGTCGTCCTGGCAGACACAACACAATGTGTATTGGCAAGTGGGTCTCTTTTTTCCCTGTTGAACAACATCGCTGTCTTCATCAGAGTGTCCTACCAGAGGATGAACATCTGGGAGAAGGAGAGCAAAGACCCAAGACACAGACGGCCCCCCCCCGATTGGAGAGACACGCTGGTGGTCCAAAGACGTTGCTGTGACTAAGGTATTTGGCTCTTTTGGAAAGCCAGATAATGCCCTGTATGTTGATGTCCTTCATACCCTCTCCGCCATTCAACATGGACAGACCATCAACGCCACTGCACGGGTCAATGCACGTGGATACATCACCCAGCTTCTGAGGTATGAAACAATACTTACAGCTCAGATCTTCCTGAGAATTTTCCAGGTCACCTCACCAGTCTCAAAATACCTTCAGAAAAGTGGAATGGACATCCTGACAGCTCATCGGATGATTGTGGCTGCAGAAACACAGCTGAAAGATATGACCAGAGACTTCGAGAAAGTCAAGACGGCGGCCGCCACATTCGTCCAGTGGGCCAACAATCAAACAGAGGAGCAGAGTGAGGAGACTGAGCTGGAGGTTGAGGCCGCTCTGCCACAGAAACGGGGTAGAAAGAAGAAAACCATGCCTGGAGAGATGTCCAAGGATGAGGCTGTGACTGATGCTGAAACATCATACAAGATTGATGTCCATAATCAAATCATGGACACAGTCACAGGAAGCATGCACCAGCGCTTCCTCAAAAATGGCACTTTGTATGCTGATTTGGCACTTCTGGACCCAAAAAGATTCAGCCAGGTAACATCTTATGCCGGTGGTTTCCCAGAGGCAGCACTCCAAGAATTAAGCAAGTGCTTGCTGCCATTTGATGACAGAGCAACGGTGGCCAAATTACAGAGTGAGCTCATCAGTCTGGCAGGACAGTGGAATAGGTTGAAGACATCTGTATTTGAGGAATACACAACCGAGACAACAGAGGCTGGGCCAGAGGATGCTGAAGATGAAGCGGAGATGGTATATAAAAAGTGCTCATCTTGCAAGGACTGCCCATTGTGTTGCTACCGTATCCTTAAGCAGTACAACCTCCTGACAGATGCATACCACATCATTGGCCTTGCATACAGGTTCCTGCTTACCCTGTCTGTCACACAGGTAGCATGCGAGCGAAGCTTTTCAACACTAAAATTCATCAAAAACAAGCTCAGGAGCTCGCTCTCTCAACAGAACCTGGAGTCCTTTATGCTCATGGCTACTCAACCAGATGTTTTGAAGATGCTGGATAGTGACCAAATTATAGATGGTGTTGCAGAGAAAAGTGAGCTGCTGCAGAAACTACTATTCAGTGAGGTAATAATACATTTACATTTATTACTATGTGACTTCCCATCTTGACACTAATAAATTAGTGATTATTGCAGACTATTAAACAACATTAAAAACATGACATTTGTTTCTAATGAAGGCTTCAGGTGGATGTCAGTATCATACATAGTACATAACATGCATATATGTTTTGTCTCTCACCCATAGGCCACCCTATTTTTTCCAGAGGGGACTGACTTCTACAACCTTGCTCCCAATGTCAAAATCAACCACTTCAACCCAGCCTCCTCCTTTTAAAAGCAACACATGGATGAGCTCACTTATAGACCCAAAAGGGTAGAGAGGGA